ATAATTTCCAAGGAGTGAGATGGCAGGGTTGTGTGACAAATCTATTTTCAGATATCTGGGGAAACTCCATATTGTCTTCCACATGGTTGTATTAACTTACATCCCCACAAACAGTGAATTAGAATACTTTTCCCCCACATTTTTGCCCACATTTATTGTTTTCTGTTTTCTGTAAGACAGACATTGTAGTTGAGCTGAGGTGCAACCTCATTGTGGTTTTTATTTGCATTTCCTCCATGGCTAGCGAACCTGAACATTTTTCATATGTCTATTGTCCGTTTGCGTTTAACCCTTTGTGAAATGCCTATCCATATCCTTTGATTATTTCTTTTTTTAAAAAGATTTATTTTTTTTATTATTTTTTTTTTATTGGAAAGGCAGATATACAGAGAGGAGAGACAGAGAGGAAGATCTTCCGTCCGATGATTCACTCCCCAAGTGAACGCAATGGCTGATGCTATGCCGATCCAAAGCCAGGAGCCTCTTCCGGGTCTCCCAAACAGGTGCAGGGTCCCAAAGCTTTGGGCCGTCCTCAACTGCCCTCCCGGGCCACAGGCAGGGAGCTGGAAGGGAAGCGGGGCCGCTGGGATAGAACCGGCGCCCATATGGGATCCCGGGCGTGCAAGGCGAGGACCTTAACCACTTGCGCCACCGTGCCGGGCCCCCTTTGATTATTTCTTAACTGGACTCATATCCTTTGATTATTTCTTAATTGGACTATTTTGTTGTGGTTTCTTTAACATTTTATAGATCCTGGATATTAATCATCTATCAGTTTCATTGTTTACAGATATTTTCTTCCATTCTGTGATCTGTCTCTTCCTTTTCAATGCAGAAGGCTAATGGATTAGCTAGGAGCTTCTTTCAGATCCAGTAGTAGAGCCTGTTTGGTAAACAGTTTCCCCAAAACTTAAAAATGTACAATTTCCATTGGATATAGCAATTTCACGGGTGGTTATTTATTCAAGAGCAATCAGACGGAGGCTGGTATTGTGGCACAGAGGGTTAAGCTGCAGCCTACAATGCCTGAATTCTACATGGGCATCGGTTTGACAGCCAGGTGCTCCACCTCGAAAACAGCTCCTGACTAGTAACCTGGGAAAGCCGCAGAAGATGATCCAAGTGCTTTGGCCCCTGCACCCACATAGGACACCCAGAAAAAGCTCTTGGTTCCTGAATCTAACCTGTCCCAACCCTGGGCCACCTAGAGCCATTATGAAGAGTGAACCAGAAGGTGGAAGATCTCTCTCTCTCTGTAGAATTTTTCAGGAAAGCCAAATCTACAGACAGACAGCGAAGCCATCTTTGCCTGGAGCCGGAATGAGAGCAATTCTGAATTGTAAATGTGCAAAAGGAAACTTTGTCAGTCAACAGAAGTGTTTTAAGACTGGACTGTATTAATAGATATATATTTGCATAAGTTGCTACATAATTGTTATCAGTAACATTACACTGAGTAAATTTCATAATTTGCATGTGATACTATAATAAACCTATTACAATGAAGTTATCTGGAAGCTTAGGTTTGTTGGAAATGAAAGTGTATAGAAGGCCAAATAAGCAATGATTAGCAGACAGTATCCAGCAATAATGGGAAGAAATAGGTAGCTGCTTTGTTAGGTGATGTGTGCATTTTCCAGTTTTTATTTTTCTCAGTAGCATCATACAGTGTATTCCCCTGCATTCATTTTGTGTCCTGCCGATCACTATCAGCATCTCCCTTGCATCCCAGCCAAGCACGTTCTGACTTCTTGATAGAACTTGTAAAACCTTATTATGAGGCCAGAGACCTCTTCCGTATCTATTCAGGATCGCTCAGTTACCTCAGCTTTCTGCTCTGGAGGATACATTTTTATGCTTATAAAAATGAAAGGCATCAGGAGGTTATATAAAAACCTTAAAATGAATTAATGCCATGGAAAAATGTTATTCATTAAGATGAAAGAGCTGTGTGGTTTCCTTCTCGGCCGTGGCTGCGTGTGTTTGAAGATTTACTATCGAATTAGGGAAAGTTGGCAAGGTCTGGAGCAGCTACTGAATAAGGAGGCTACGGCACATTCCATTTTTGACAAATTGAGAAGAGCAGTTTTTCAATGGTGAAAATCGGACTTGCAACATAGATAAACAGATTTGCTTGGAGTTTGGGTGGTATTTATGTTAGTTTTGGGCACCCAGGGAGAAGTACCTAAATATTTTTTTGTGAGAGTCTCCAATCACTTAAGCCTGTGAGCTAGGAGTAGGGCTACCTTTGTTTGTCTCCAGATTTTATAAGCCTTTGGAATGAGAAGCTGTCCCTCTGCCATTTCAGAATAGGCAATGCTGTGCAAGACTCCATCAGAAGTGTTGCAATGTCTTCAGATAAACAATGCAAGTGACACCCACGTTGTGCTCCTTTTCCTCTGATTTTAGAATTGCATTACTGCTTCTATTACTCGGCCTAAAAGTTGCAACTGGGTGAGTTATGAGTATGTTGAAGAGGCCACATTCTGGTGGCCTGTGTGCCAGGCCTGCCCTGTAGATCTGTTCCATCTTATTTGGCCTTTTGAATGAAAAGAAACAGTTCTTTTTGAACTTTATAGACAGCATTTTGCAACCTGAAGGTTTTATACAGATGTCCAAATTCCAGGCTGGTCTTAAAAAGTCTGTTACTTAGAACACATGTTCCGGCAAGTCGATATGCCAACCTTCCTTACCCAGGCAGAGATCACCTATTGCCATGTGCCCAAGAGGCCACCTCACTTACTTATTGTTCCTTCTGGTCAAAAGATGCTTAAGACGTTTGTGACCCTGCAGACTGTCCAGACATTCCCAACGGCTGACAGGGAAAGCCCTTTGCTGCTTCGGGATGCAGAGACTATATGGAACTGCATTTGTTTGATCAGGTTCAAAGCTACTTTGAAAAGCCTCTTGAGTTTCAGAATATTGACACTCTTGAGAAACCTTAGTGGAATAAAGCTTTATCCTTGAATCTGATTTCTGGAAATAGTAAAAGGAAAGTGTGGAACCAAGTTTGGAGCAAAAAAAGTGACTGTAAACTAATGAAAATCTGTTTCTGTCAGATGGTTTGTCAGCTGAGCCAAAGAAAACTTCAGAAGATTCGCTTACTCTTTGAGGGATGGACTCAGCTTCCAACGTCGAACGCCCTTTCTCCCGACCTCTCGCGCGATCAGATGCATCGTTTTCTTGTGTGTCTAGGACCTCGGTTCTAATTCTTCATCTGATGGTTCTATCCCCTGTCCCCCACCAGGCTCAGAGCTGCTTGATGAAAAGTTATATTTTCACTCATGTAAAAAGCAAGACATTGGTTTTGATTTATTAATTTTTAAAGCAAGGCTGGAATTAAAAAAAAAAAGTTTTATTTAAAAGGCAGAGTGACAGAGAGACACCCACATTCATACCCAGAAAGAGAGGAAGAGAGTGAAGAAAGAAAGAGAGAGAGAGAAAGGAAGAAACAGAGTGAGAGGGAGAAAGAGAGCGAGAAACAGATACAAAGGGAAAAATGGAGAGGGGGAGAAACAAAGAGAGAAGGAGAGAGAGGGAGAGAGAGAAAAAAGAAACAGGGAAAACGGGGTGGGGGAGGGCAAAGAGGAGAGAAAAAGAGAGACAGACAGACAGACTTTTCCTCTGCTGGTTCACTCCCTAAGTTTCTGCAACACCGTGGAGGGCAGTTGGGAACTCAGTGGTGGTCTTCAGGGATCGCTGGGACTCAAGTACTAGAGCCAGCACCTGTCGCCTGTGTGCATCAACAGCAAGCTGGATCCCAGGCGGATTCATTTAGTTGAGCACTGGCATTCTGCTGTGTAATCCTGACAGCTTAACCACTGCACCACAACACCGTTTTCTCCTTTCGATCCAGTTTGCAAAGCTGGCAATTAAGAGATTGAACGGAAGCGTTCATGAATGAATGTGTGAAGTCGCAAATTATCCCAGCTGGCTATTTTCCAGAGCAGAGCAGCCACTTGATATTGTTTAAACATCCTTTCTCATTTTTAAAAACTGGAATCTGTGTGGCTGTATGTATTTGTAAAAACCCAATGAACGAAAGGTGAATTGCTTTTCGATTGTGTGCCTTAGTCTCTGAAGTGAGTCCAACTACAGTTTGTTTACCGGCAAGAGGTGCCTCATTGCACACTTGCGGTCTTGATAGGTGATGAGCAAGAAGTGTAAACGCTGTTGAACCAAAGGTGGAACCAACTCCACCAAGAGCAATAGCCTGCTGTCCGTGTCACAGTTCAAACACAAGGCCTATTCCGGACTGCGTTAAGATTTTTGATACTTTAAACCAGGTGTCAGTGACAACCTCAGGAGCGTTTGAAACCTTCCCAGTGGAAAAATCTAGAAGACTACTAAGTAATCTACCCAAACGGCAGGATCAACTAAACCCCAGAAACCACACAAAACCGTGTAACACCTACGTCTTAGAAGACTGACCCCCTCTCTCCGAAGTGTGTGCAGTGGAAAGAAGGCTTGGTGGCTGCAGGGCTGTGGGGTGGCAGTTCATTGTTCGATTCTACGCAGGAAGGAAAGCGGCTTTACCGCAGCCACCTGCATCTCCGAGCGCTCGCGCTGCCCTGTTCCGAGCCCCATCTCCCGCCTTTGCGCCGGGGACACCTCAGGGGCAGCCGTATCCTTCGGCTCCTGCCCGCTCTATTTTGGAGCCGCGTGATCTCATGCCCTCGGTCGCCGGGCGCAGCCTGCGTTACCAGGCCAAGCAGGGCGATCAGGGCGAGGGGTCGGGCGGGCGCCCGGGGCGAGGGAGGGAAGGCTGGGGCAAGTTCAAGACGCGCCCACGCCAAGCACCCAAAATAACCGGCTCGCGGAGGGCCCCAAATCAGACAGGAAGCCAAATAATCCGGGGCGTAGAGCGGCTCTCCCCTCACCAGGAGCGCAGGGCGGAGGGACAGGAGCCCTGGGTCTGACCGCGAGGGGCGGCGCGGCGAGCCGGGGCGGGGCCGGCTAAGGGCCTATTAAAGGCGCTGCGGGGCGACGGGGCTGGAGAGCCCAAGGCCACCATGGAGCGGGACGGCTGCTCTGGGGGCGGGAGCCAAGGAGGCGGCGTCGGCAAGGGCGGGCACGTCTCCCGGGAGGGCCCGGCGGGCAACGGCCGCGACCCGAGTCATGGCCAAGCCGCCGGGACGCCTGGGGACCCGCAGGCGGCCGCGTCCTTGCTGGCGCCCATGGACCTGGGGGAGGAGCCCCTGGAGAAGGCGGCGCGCGGCCGCACGGCCAAGGACCCCAACACCTACAAAGTGCTCTCGCTGGTAGGTTTGGCGGCGTCGGGCGCTGGGCCCGGGAGGGCTGGACGGCGGGGACGGAGATTGGCATGGAGCTCTGCCGTCGGTCAGTACAGGGGCCCCGAGAGAGACGGCGGCGAGCAGCGTCCCTCACCTGCGGGCTCGGCCCTGGCACCTCTCAGGAGCGCGCGCAGCGCTGTCCCTTCCCTCATTCCTGTCGCTGGGGCTTGCGGTGGTGAAGGTGCTTCTGAGAACCTGTTCCCGAGAGCCGACGGAGACCATGAGCATCATTAGAAACATCGCTAGCCTCCCCAAGTCGCAAGAGCACAGGGTTTGAGAGAGAAATTGATCAGCTCGGGGGTTGTTGGCCTGAAAAACGTTCTGCCTCTTGGGGAGGCTCTGGGTGAGGTATTGAGGACTCGCATTAACTGCTTCCTGCTGATAAGATAGACCAGAGTTCTTGAAATGGTATCAGGACCTTGGAAAACACTTTGTCTTTTGGCTCAGTTTTGGAATTTCCTTGCAGCTGCTCAGGCATTCCATCAGTATTCACATTATGCCACTGTGAAGAAGCGTTTGTGATTCTTGCCCACTCTTCGACCCATAGGCCCCCAAAGTTCACGTTGCTCACAGAACTATTGTTCTTCCACTCTTGTGGCGACAGTGAGCTTCATGAGATGGAGTGGTGTGGGACAAGGGACTGTTTTCTTTCTAAATCGATGGTGGCAGAACTGACAGAGAGTTAGGGGGTCTGAGATGTTGATTTCTTGGACGTTTCGAGCGCAGGATCGAATGCAGCAGTGTGTGTAGGGACCACAAAGCTGAAAGATCAAACCGAGGCTAGCCTTTCACAGACTTCTGTGAATGGCACTGCCACTTACCAATATGATTGGACAGCGCTTTGTTAAGAAATGATTCTTAAAGTCTGCCTTTTTTGTGTTGCTTTTCTCACTATGTGTTAGGTGTCACAGAAAGATTGTAACACTCTGAGGATCCGAAGACTTAAGAGATAATGTCATGCACTTAGTATTAAAAATCATCCAAGGCTTCGAAGAATAGGTGTTCCAGTGAAATCGTGTGTGCTTGTCAGGTTGTATTTTTGCATCATAAATCACTAAGTCTTTAATACACAATAGTGATGAAAACCTTTTTTTTTTTTAGTTATTGAGCCACTTTTTTGGTGTGCTTCTTAATGGAAGGTTAGACTTTGCAACACAGCTCTTCAGTATTAGTATGCTCACATGGGTAGTGTTGTAAAGCATTCAAAAGTTGTGCACTGAATCTGTGTTGAAACTGCAGTGTCGTTGCTTACTGCTTACCGTGTGTAAGTCCTGACAAGTTTTCCAATTGTTTATCCACTTTTTCAGTCTTTCCTATCCATGCAATGAGAGATGTAAGAAGTATCAGCGAAGGTCTTGAACCTTTGGAATAAGCCTTTCTTCTTTCATATTTGCAGATTGCTGGGCAAGCAGCCTGTGTTTGGACATTCGGCATGCAAGTGTCCTAGGGCTCTTCCATTAGTAGATCTTCCATGGGTGTGTGCTGTTTCTTTATATGGATGGGGACTTTGGCTGTAAAACACATACTGATCGAAGAAGAATTCTGTTTCCTTTGATGGGATAGGACATTTATCCAAAGGTTGTGTCCTGAATTTGAAATTCGAAATTTTTGCAGATTCAACAGGTGAAGTCCATACAAACATTCCGAAAGTCCTAAATCATTTTGATCCGAAGTCTTTCTGGTGAGGGATCTTCAACTTAGCTATGTAATCAAACATGTTACTTTTAGTGAAAATTTATTTCAGTGTGGCTCTGAAACTGAAAGCTCTTACAAATTTCCCTTTGCTGTTTTCACACCTGTCTTCTCCCAAATCTTTCCCAAAATAGATGTCAAATAGGATTTGATCGTTGTCGTCAAAGAGTTGTGGGGTATGTTTTCTAGAGAGAACCTACAATTATGGAATCTCTTTCTTTGCTTTGAATGAAACATCAGCCTACTTTTCATGCAGGTGAGGAATCAGACTGGACTACTTGAATTCTGGAACTGAGGTTGGAGGGGCCACGTACCTTCTCAGCCACACAGTGTTCTATCCAGCAGACCAAGCACAGGGCCTTAGGAGAGATGACTTGCCAGTGATTACATGACTGCTATACTTTTCAGAAATTCTTCCAGCAGCACTGATCTGTCGTAGATGTGTAGGAATGGAGGAAGAAGGGAAGATCTGGCCTCCCCTGCTTCTCTCCAGGGTCTTCAATCCTGCACGTTCTCTGTTCTAGAGACTTTAGGCCCTGAGCCCTGGGAATGCTCATGTCTAGGCACTGAGCCAGACTAAGGAAGACAGCAAGTGGGAAAAACAAGCAGCACTTTCTATATGCCTTAAGGGATGTGTTAACTATGAAATGCCTTGCTGGGTTCCAAATCAGGCTTTAAGCTCAGTGAAGCATTTCACTGAGGTTAGATTGCCGGTTTAGGAGAGCACTTCAAAAAGTTTTCAGAAAAATGGAAATAAAAATCTGAGCTTACTTTCTATGCCAAATATTTTTGAAATCTTCTCCTTTTTTCATAATATACATTTCCGCAATACACAACATGCATTTTTTTTTTTGCATCAGAGTAAATTTGCACTTTAAATTTCATTTTTCCCCACAAGCCTTTGAAATCACCTTGTATTTGAAATTGTGTTCTTGTTCCCTAACGTAGTTTTAAAGGAGTCAAGTATTTTCTAGCTACATCGGCAGTACATTTTTTTTAATTTTGTTTTTAAGGTTGTCTACATAATTGAAAGAGATGCATGCCCATGTGGGCCTCTGGTTAGCGTGGGGAGAGTCAGGGATGGAGGAAGGTAGGTGGGAGATATGTTTCAGTCTTTTTTTTTTTTTTCCCTCCTGTGTCTACAGGGCAGGGAGGGGAGAGGGCTACTTCTTGCTGTCAAACTACACCAGCACCTGGGGCTGCGAGATGGTCCTTTGATGAAGCCTGGTGTGGGAAGAGGATGTTACTTGAATGGTTTTAATAGTTGTGAGAAGTTGTTGGTTTCATTGTCCACTGTTTGACAAAGTCTGCCTTAGTGCATCCACAGGCCCAGGTTGGCAGTACATTTCTCCAGTTAGCTCTTCCCAAGTATTTGTATTTCTTGTGACCTTCTGCTGTGCTTTCAAATACAACTATGTGTGCTATTGTAAAGGTGTGTGTGTGTGTGTGTGTGTGTGTGTGTGTGTGTGTCTATGTTAGATTACTTTTTCATGCAAATTCTTTGCAAGGGGCAGGAGTTGGTAGGCCTTGCTTACGGCCGACTTGGGTGTGAATATTATTTTGAAATTTTTTGAAGGTGAATTTTTGAAAATGAATATATTTGTTTGAAAGAGAGAGAAGCAGACTGACTTATACACGTATGTATATACACATAGAGAGAGTGCTACTGCTTGCTGGTTTCCTCCCTGATGCCCTTATGGCCTGGGCTGAGCTGAGCCCCGCAGCTGGGACTTCAGTGTGAGTCTGCCAGGTAAGTTGCAGGAGTCCTATTCTTTGAGCAGGCACTGTTGCCTCTTGGGGGCTGCATTTGCAGGCATTTGGAATCAGGAGCTAGAACTAGGATTTGAACCTTGGCACACTGATGTCAGGGCTATCCTAACCTCTTTGCAAGATGGCCACCTCTGGGTGTGAATATTATTAATTTTGTTATTTTTCTACCCTTTTCCTTGAATACAACATAAAGATTAGCCATGATAACTGGAATTGAGATTACTTTATTTATAAAGTTTAATAGCTCTCTCACAATAGTTTAGCATTTTATTTTAAAGTAGCCAGAGCATCTTAAGGGGAAAAAAGTCTCCTGTTTTTCCCTGTAATATGTTTTTATTTTTTTCTCTGTCTTGACAAAATGCTCCAAAGATTTCTAGGAACTCAAGAACATTATGCTTACTGCAGAGTGTAAGGTGATTCCTAAACTCAGTGTTAGCTTTTGATTGGCTGAGCAAACATACTTTGTTTAAAGGTACACAGAATGATACTTTGTGGGAAAGGAAATACGGGAAGAACCCAGCTCCATGTCGCTTGTGATGTTAAGGATTTCTGGCATCAATGATGATGTCTAAGAAGGTATTTCATGAGTAGCCAAAATCTGCAGATGAGCATTAACTAAACACTATTTCTCAATAGTGTTTCCAAGCTTTTGGGAGGTGGTTTTGTTTTTTTTGATTTTTTAAAATGTATTAGAATGGAAAAGTACGGCATTATGATAGCCATTTTGGAGGGAGTGAACTTTCATTTGTGTATCTCATCTATGGATTGATAATTTGCTCACAAAAATATCTGAAGACTTCACAGCAACCTAACTGGTAATCATTCTGTTAATATGATTTGGAAGCCTTAGAGGTCATCCTATCTTAGTTTTCAGGAAAATGTTTTTCAGAAAGTAGCTTGTTCTAAAGCTGGATTCTTTTCCTGAGAAATGTTTTTGGCCTCAGGAAGTGTGTTGGGCCTTAGTGAACCGTCTGGGGCCTATGATCTCTTATGGAAAGAGAGACAACAGGAAAGAAATTCAAGTAGTTTTTTTTTTATGATGCTATTAAGCAGCAACATAAATACAACTGTTATCATAAGATGATTCCGAGTAGGATCTCGCAATGCTCCAGACCATCATTATGTGATTTGGCTCAGTATGTTTATTATTGAATGATAACACAAAGTTTCAGTCCAAATATTTAGATATCCTTTCTCAGTGTGTGGTCTGTGGATCTCCAGGGATTCCCCCAATGCTTTGCAGGGCACTCAGAAGTAAACATTATTTGAAAATCAACAGTGCAACAGCTATTTACCCTTCCACTAGGTTGGTGTTTACAGTGAAGGTGTTGAAGGAGTGGATGGTGAAACTGCTTGCAGGTGAGTAGAAATTAGGGCAAAGGTATCCTTTGTACAAGAAGTCATGTATATACAGTAAAAAGAGCTTCATTCACTTAAAAGAATGTCTAACTGAAATAGCAAATACGTCCTTGAAACTGATTTTACTAAATCTCAAGCTCAAATCA